AGGTCGAGATCTACTACTGCACCGACGACCCTCAGCTCCAGTCGCCCCTGCAGGACCGTCACACAGACCAGTAATTGTCGCATTCCAGCAGCGTACTCGCTGGAGCTCATCATCATCCTGTCCGTCGACCTCAGTCTCGCTCTTGCGCTCGTCGCCTTCGCCGTCGTCGCCTACGCCGCCATCTTCATCTACGCCTTCTCCCACACGCACTCCACCCTCTACGTAGAGACTTGACGCGAACGCTAGCACCACGAAGCTCCCTCAGCTCCAGTACCCCGGCAAGAGCCTACAGCCACCACGCCCCGCTTCTCAGCCAACACCGCCGACTGTGCAGGCCGCCCACACGGCTTCTCTTTAGTCTATCGAACACACGTATCCCTCGATAACGACAGTTTTGAAGAGTGCGACGATAACCCTTGCCCCAACGCGCGCGACTTCCCCCTCCACGGAATCCAAGTCGACGAACAGGACGACCGACCGGTAGACGAGAACAACGACGAGTGGGACTTTGACGTCATCATCCCCTCGTTCCTCTCTATCCTCCGCCGACCACAACCCACCGCACGCTCCCGCTATCAGACACCGCCGTCCCCTCCCACCCTACAGCCCTTTACCTCCTTTGGCAGCCGCGTAGGTCGCACTCGTACGCAACCCCCCACCAGGCCCCCGTCCCCCTCACTCCGCCCAAACTCCGCACCACCAATTATCCCCACCGCAACCACTCCACCCACACCCCAGCCTCCGTCAAACCCCATGGAAGCCCAACTCGCACAGCTGGTCACCAACCAGGCCGCTTTGGGCACCACTCTGAATCAGCTGCTAACGGCGATGCAAGCCCAAACCCAGGCGATGCGGGCCCAGACCCAGGCCCAGGGTCAACAACAGGCACCGGCGGTCCAGACCATCAACGCGGAGACCAAGGCCATTGCCAAGCCCACAGCCTTCAAGGGAGAACGCAGCGATGCCCGCCGCTTCCTAGCATACTTCCAGATCTGGGCAAAGGAGCAGGGCCGCCCTCTCAACCTCGCGGGCGTACGCCAAGACCGCCTTTGGATCAAGGCCGCCCTCTCCCTGATGGAGGGAGACGCCGCCACGTGGGGCCGTCGCTACGTAGAAGACATTGCGTCTCATGAGGCCGGAGGAGTCAACGCACCTGCCTTCCCCTTCTCTGAGTCGTGGACCACCTTTGTAGACAACTACAAGGTCCGCTGGCAGGCCCAAGACGAGGAAGCGGAGGCACGACATGCCCTAGACAAGCTGTCCCAGGGCACCCTTGGGGTGGCAGACTATGCGGCCCGGTTCCAAGACCTGGCCTCCCGCACCGGCTACTCCGACGCCGACCTCCGTGTCCGCTTCTACGCGCGACTCTCCAATGCCATCAAGACCCAGCTGCTGCCAGTTGAGCTTGCGCATGGCAAGCCAACCGACCTCAACACGCTGGTCAAACGAGCGTGCAAAGCCCAGGACCTGCTCGATGAACTCCGCGTAGAGACCGGAGGCTACGCCTCGCGCCGCTATGGCAACACGCCCCAGGCCGCCCCTCGCCCCGCGGTCGACCCCTACGCTATGGAGGTTGACGCTACGCGCACGGGAAACGGGAAGACTCGAGAGGAGTTCCAGCGCGCCATGACCGGCCGCTGCTTCGGCTGCGGGTCCAAGGAGCACCTGAAGCGAGACGGGAATCACCAGACCGACCGTTGCGGCTATTGCAGTCGCACGGGGCACAAAGAGACGGTTTGCGAGGACAAGTACCTCGGCCGGGAGCGTAACCGAGGTCAGCTCAGCCGCGGGCAAGGCCGGCAGCGCGTCGCAGCCAGCAGGCAAGACTCTGCCCCGTTCTCCCTCTTCACAGAGCCCCCGACCGCCACCGTTGCGGCCTCCGTCCCCGTCGCCGACCAGAACACCACCCAAATCGCGGACCTAGAGAGGATCCTAGCTGAGCAGCAAGCCCTCCTCGACCGCCTCCGCCCGGGTTTTTAAAGCGGGTGCCTGTTACTGCCGCAGCAGAAGCACCCCCGTCTCCATACTCTATGTTGTCCACCTCGTTATACGATTCGATTCAAGCATGTACTATAAGAACCGTGAAATCTATAGACCCGTTGTCATCGCATTTCCGGATCCCAGTACAATTACAAGGACGCAATAGAAGTATGGAGACCGCGGCAATGGTCGACTCAGGCGCAACAGCGCTATTTCTTGATCAGCTCTTCGTTGACCAACACAAAATCTCCACCTTCCCTCTCCGCTCCCCCATACGCATCACTAACATTGATGGCTCTCCGAACCGAGCAGGCAATATCTCGCACTTTGCCCGACTACATCTCACAGTCGATGATCAAGAAGCCTGGACGGATTTCTTAGTCACCGATCTAGGCGGAGAAAGCGTCATTCTGGGCCTGCCTTGGCTTAAGAAGACTAACCCGGACATCGATTGGGAACAAGGGCACCTACAGTCCCGTATCCCGGAGCTACAGGAGGTGGAGGAAGATGAAGACGAAGAGGAAGAGGAGCAGCCCAGC